CAGGAGCAACCCACCATGATCCGGGTGGGAGTTAAGACTATCCCCACATGCCTGATGTCATGCTACCAACCCTTCCGTACCGGGAGCCAGATTCACGAAGCAGTTACGTACGTACTTACAAACGTTCTTTTTTAGCATCTTCATAGTGGCTACGTCAGTATTCAGGTAGGCATTTAAGTAAGAAAATCTTCGTAAGTAACTTCGTCGCGCTAAGGACGCTCTCGAACCAATCGTAGCTTTACATTGACTGTATATAACTCAATTTTCTTTACGACACAACACAGACAATCGATTTTATTATAAACAAAAATTTAACTGACGAGTCTCATCAAGAAGGAGTCCTTCGTGTTAGCTATATGTGCTTTCTATGCTTGAAATTTGTACAAAATTCGTATTGTAAAATTTGTTTGTTACGATTGGACAAGTGGTTACGATACCATGTACGCCAGATGCATAGTGCTTCTGGCTGTCGGGTTCGAATAATTTTGGGGTGTGGAGTTTTCGGTTGCATATTGGCTTGGGGACCATTTAAGATTGTTCACTTTTGTTTGCTCACGTGGCCCTCAGAGTAAGGTGATTCGATGAAATAACTATGCCCAAGCATACCACCTAGTGCCATTGGGGCATTGGGATATAGCCTAGAATACCAACGTCTTTTGTAAGGTCACAGTTGCAAGTTGCTAAGGTACCATGTACACCAGTGCATAGTGCTCCTGGCTGTCGGTTCGAGTCATCCTTGGGTGTGGAGTTTTCAGTTTACATAATATATATATATATATATATATATATATTATATATATCCTCAGCAGCTGCAACATTACCACTCGCATCACTACTGGTGCTGGGAGAATTTACTTGATCACTATCGCTAGCATGATTCACTTCACTATCACCGGGCAGATTCGTCACTAATGTTTGTATTTTAATTTCCAATCCCATAATTTTATTTTTTAACCAGTCAATTTCTTCTGTATCTTTGCTTGTTTGCCTTAGCCCATCGAGGGTTGGAAACTGCTTACTAGAGGTGACATTAGGAGCTTCCAGCTGGGTGCCTCCTGCAGCTGGACCAGACGCCTCTGGCGTCCTGCTCATGGTAGAGAGGGCGGGGCGTCGAGGGCAGTCACGATGCCAAACATCTACACCTTGACGCAAACACCTGGGACACTTCCGGACCAGAGGAGAGGCTTCCTCCCCATCCTCAAGGGTAGGGGGGTCCCTGTGAGGACACTCCCTTGTTTCGTGCTGTTCAGCACAGAGACCACACACAGGGTCATGTTGACAGTACCTAGAGATATGATGAGTACCATGGCACTTATAACAAACAACAGGGGAGGATACCCAAGGTTTTATAGGACTTTATGGGATGAAATGTCCAAAGAAGGTGTAATGTTCAGGGGGAGGGTCACTGCCATTCCAAACAATGATGATCCTGTTGAGAGGTTGACCATCCTTATGTATCCGTCTTGCCTTATAGACCCCGTCAAGGTTATAAGCTCTATCAAGAGGATACTCTTTGGGAAAACTGGTAACAATATATTCCTTAAGTTTTTTAGGTCGATTGATGATGTCTTCTCTGGTGAAAACAATATTAGCGATCTCACCTTTAACCAGTTGAGTGATGATATTTTCTTGCTTACGTGACACAAAGATGTAAGGGGATGTCGGTCTAGGTCGGACTATATCGAGGAATGTTTTGGAGAAGTTATTAGAAAGTTGTTCGAACCATTTCAGTTTATCGTTGGTGGGTGTTCCAGGTGGGAATGCCAGACGCACATACTCAGCGCGGGGAGCAATAGGAGGTGTGGGTGGGCGGGCCCTTGGCTGGGTGGGCCCACCACCACCCACCTCCACTGTCTTCACACGGGTTCCGGTGTTTCTGTCATCATTGCCAATGTTCTCATCGCCATCAGCAGAGTCTGCAAGTTTAGACTTTCCTCTTCCGTGATCGCATCTGCCACTCACTGATCGTTTGTCCTGACTGCAACCCACTCATTAGACTCTTGGAGATCACTTGGATTAGACTCTGAGCCCGGTTGCCATGACTAGCTGCCCAGGGCTCACCACTCGGTAACACTACCCACCTCATGTACACTCAACACAAACCACGACCCTGGGAAGGTATTTTACACACGTCGCTATGTACCTCTGGTTCCCCGCCTCTCTGCATGAAGTTCTATACAATCCAGCTGTTCTGTCGCCACTTAGTTGCAGCTGAACGATACGCTATGGAATACTTCGAGACTACGTTCTTCCCCTCGATGACGTTCTCTCTTTCCTTACAGAAGGCTACTCCTTCCTTCTTCCCACTGAAGTGATACTCGTCTCTCTCTCTCTGGCTTCGCTATGTTTCGATGACCTCGTCCTTCTGTTGATTTTTCTCTTTATGTTGATGACATTTTTTCTTTATCGCCTCATGACCTTCGTCTTTTCCAGCCTTTCCTCTCCTCTCTTAACAATCAGGCTCCTTCCATCCATTTCAAAGTTGAATGGGAAACTAATTCCCTCCTTTCTTTCCTTGACGTTCACGTTCACAGCTCTGTGTCCGGGTTCTCTTTCTCTGTCTACCGCAAACCCCTGCATAGCGGCATGTACATTCACTTCTTTTCCTACCATCCTCCTTCTGTTAAGAAAAGTGTCCTCGTCTCTCTCTTCCTCCGCGCTCTACGCATCAGCGACCCTCAGTTTCTTGATTCTGAAATTGCCTTTATCTACAAATCATTCTCTCGCCTTGGTTACCCTTTGTATTTTATATACTGTGCCTACTCTCAAGCTAATCGAAATTTCTTTCATGCTAAACCTGCTTCCAACTCTAGTAGCACTGTGCTCTGCCTTCCCTTCATATCTGAACTCAAAACGTTTACTAATACCTTTCGTCCTCTTGACATAAAGCTCACCTTTCGACAAACTAACACACTTCGCAGCAATCTAGTTCACACTGCTCCTCCTGCTTCTAATGCCGCTGGTGTCTAATCTATTTCCTGTTCGTCTTGTCCTCTCCAATACTTAGGTGAAACTAGCCGTACACTTAATGACAGACTTAAAGAACACAAAGAAGTGTTAAGTCTGCAGACACAAACAATGCTCTCGTCTGTCATGTTTGGGATTCTTATCATTCTATTGACTGGTCTTCCTTCAAAATAATCTTTCCTGCCTCTACACAGACGCCTTCGTGTTGAATCGGCTCTGATACACAACATAACTAACATGAACTTGAGTCCTGGTTTTATTGCTGTTGACTCTCACCTTTCACAGTATATACTCAACTGCTCTAAATTTCTAACAAGCGTGACCTAACGTAGGCTTACCCTTCCATTTATCTTAGTTTGTTTGTTTCTTTCTTTTCCTTGTTTTCTCTAACGATCCCTTTTTTTATTCCTTTATTATATTTTAATTATTTCTTATTCCTTTATTTTTTAAGAATTATTTCTTATTCCTTTATTATACCTTACCTTTCGTACCTTTTGCCTTGCTTTTCCTTCTCTATGATTTCCTTCTCCTTATCTCTCTCTTGCCAATTTATTGCCTTCGCCTCCTTTTCTCATCACAATCGACTTGAGAATGGTATATCTAGGATATCTTGAGATGATTTCAGGGCTTAGCGTCCACGCGGCCCGGTCCTCAACCAGGCCTCCTTTTTGTTACATACCCCCCAGGAAGCAGCCCGTAGCAGCTGGGCTGCTACAGGCTGTTTCTGGGGTATGGGGGCTCTGCGGGTACCTGGGCCCGTACCCAGCAGGTACGGGCCCAGGTACCTATTTACTGCTAGGTAACAGGGGCATCAGGGTGAAAGAAACTTTTTGCCCATTTGTCTCCGCCTCCATCGGGGATCGAACCCGGAACCTCAGGACTATGAATCCGAAGCGCTATCCACTCAGCTCTCTGGCGCCCGTACAGGACGGGCCGAAACGTCGTCGTCCCTTCACTTTCTAATGTGTGGGTTTGGTCAACATATTTCAGTCACGTTATTGTGACTCCTCGTCTGCACTCTAGAAGTTCTCTACCCTGCTGTCGCACTGTTGACGAGGCTAGGAGATACTCCTGAAGTGCTCTACCCTGCTGTCACACTGTTGACGAGGCTAGGAGATACTGTTGAAGTACTCTACCCTGCTGTCACACTGGTAACGAGGTCTTGAGGGACTCTTGAAGTACTCTACCCTGCTGTCACACTGGTAACGAGGACTTGAGGGACTCTTGAAGTACTCTACCCTGCTGTCACACTGGTAACGAGGTCTTGAGGGACTCTTGAAGTACTCTACCCTGCTGTCACACTGGTAACGAGGCCTTGAGGGACTCTTGAAGTACTCTACCCTGCTGTCACACTGGTAACGAGGACTTGAGGGACTCTTGAAGTACTCTACCCTGCTGTCACACTGGTAACGAGGACTTGAGGGACTCTTGAAGTACTCTACCCTGCTGTCACACTGGTAACGAGGACTTGAGGGACTCTTGAAGTACTCTACCCTGTTGTCACACTGGGGACGAGGACTTGAGGGACTCTTGAAGTACTCTACCCTGCTGTCACACTGGGGACGAGGCCTTGAGGGACTCTTTGAAGTACTCTACCCTGCTGTCACACTGGTAACGAGGACTTGAGACACTCTTGAAGTACTCTACCTTGCTGTCACACTGGTAACGAGGACTTGAGGGACTCTTGAAGTACTCTACCCTGCTGTCACACTGGTAACGAGGACTTGAGGGACTCTTGAAGTACTCTACCCTGCTGTCACACTGGTAACGAGGACTTGAGGGACTCTTGAAGTACTCTACCCTGCTGTCACACTGGGGACGAGGCCTTGAGGGACTCTTTGAAGTACTCTACCCTGCTGTCACACTGGTGACGAGGCCTTGAGGGACTCTTGAAGTACTCTACCCTGCTGTCACACTGGTGACGAGGCCTTGAGGGACTCTTGAAGTACTCTACCCTGCTGACACACTAGTAACGAGGACTTGAGGGACTCTTGAAGTTCTCTACCCTGCTGTCACACTGGGGACGAGACCAGGAGGCTTCATGTGAATTATAATATTTCACAAATAAATATAGACAGAAATAGAATGACCTGTGAGAAGTCGATATTCTCCACCTCTTTCTTAAGGACATCTCTGATGCAGTCCCGAAGAGGGAAGCCGCTCTTCACATACACTTTGTTGGCCAAGTCTATCACATAGTCACTCGTGTTGCTCTGTCTCTCTGCGTTTCTGTAGGGGCATCTTAATTATTATATATAATACATGCGTTTATAAACACTCATAAATAACAAGTTACAGAGAACTCAAATATTCAATTATGCATATAATAATTACGATGACAAGTAAGGAATGTGAGTGGACTCACAGACGGTCGAGGGCCCTGTAGGTAGCCAGAGTGGTTGAAGGGTCTCTGAGACGAAGAGTGTCCTGCAGCTGCTGACGAGTCCTGCCAGCAGACCCAAAGTAGGCCAGGACCAGGGCGGTCCACACGCTGTAGGGCGAGAAGAAAAAGTTTCCTGTGGCGGTGGGTGGATAGAGCTGCTTGAAGAGGTCCAAGCTGAAGGGGGTGATGTGGGCCAGGTCAGGTGAGGAGGTCACCACCAGCTTGTCATTGTTGGAGATACACTGAGGCCTCACCACACTCACCAGCGTCACCACCAACACTGCTGCACACCACAGCTTCCTCATACTGTGGGGAAGAGGACTGTAGCAGCGGCGCTCCACCAACACTGATGACTACTTTATTATATTACAAATACCAATATCTTATTGAATTAAATATTTATATAAGTAGAAGCTCGCAGTCGTGTGAGGAGAGTTGTGGTGTAATAGTTTTGTTGGTGATGGAGGGTGGTGATGGAGGGAGGGGGGGGGGGAGCGGGGTGCGGGGTGGTGGTGATGGATGGTAGTGATGGGTGCAGGTGATGGGGTGCTGATAATGGACGGTGGTGATGGGTGGTGGTGATAGATGGTGGTAATGGGTGGTGGTGATGGGTGGTGGTGATGGGTGGTGGTGATGGGTGGTGGCGATGTGTGGTGGTGAGGCACTATACACTCACCCACTATAGACACTCACCCACTACACACACACACACACACACACACACACACACACACACACCGGTGTTGGGTGGTGACTGATCAGTGGTACAGTAAATTAGTGAACTGTAACACAACGATACAGTGACTGACTTCAGAGCTTTGTGTAGATCTACTAGCACTTAGTGAATCACCAAGTGGGAGACAACGACGGATTACCATCGTCATCCATACATCGTCATTACTCATCTGGTTGTGTGAGCGGGAGGCAGACTGGTATGCACCTCTCACTGGTCAACTAATCAGGTGTACAGATTGAGGTAAAATATTATCAAATTCTTGTTCATGATATCCTATATATATTTAAAAATCTCAAAGTAGCTCATTTTAGGTAGAAGTTAACGCTTACGGGACCCCCGTAACACACGCACGCACGCACACGTACGTTTGCAAGCACACACGCACGCACACGCAAAAATAAACACACGCACACGCACGCACACTTGCTTGATCTGATATTTACCCTAAATGAGTCGGATATAAGGGAAGTTAAGTTGGAAGTCCCCTTGGGAATGAGTGATCATAGTGTATTGAGCTTTGAGTACCTGGTTGAGCTAGGAATTATCACCCCCCAAAAAAGAACTGGGAAACAAAGGGCTGGCGTACCGAAAGGGAAACTATGAGGAGATGAATAAATTCCTATGGGATATACATTGGGACACAGAACTCGGAACCAAGTCCGTACAAGACATGATGGACTATGTCACCCAAAAATGTCAGGAGGCTGTAAGCAGGTTTGTCCCAGCCCGACAGGAAAAAACAGAGAAGCAAAGGAAGAATTCGTGGTTTAATAGGGAATGTATGAAAGCAAAGGAGCTGAACAAAAGGGCATGGAGGAACTCCTGTAATAACAGAACACCAGAAAGAGAGAGAGATACCAGAGAACCAGAAACGAGTATGTTAATGCGAGAAGAGCAGCTGAGTAAAGGTATGAAAATGATATACCTAATAAAGCCAAGACTGAACCAAAGCTACTACACAGTCACATCAGGAGGAAGACAACCGTGAAGGAACAGGTGATGAAACTTAGGGTGGGCGAGGACAGGTACACAGAGAAAGACAAAGAGGTGTGTGAAGAACTCAACAAAAGGTTCCAAAAGGTCTTTACAATAGAACAGGGAGACGTCACGGCGCTAGGAGAGGTGGCAGCAAACAAGGTGACCTTGGAGAGGTTCGAAATTACAAAAGATGAAGTCAAGAAACACCTATTGGAGCTGGATGTGAGAAAAGCTGTTGGGCCGGACGGAATCTCACCATGGGTATTGAAAGAGTGTGCAGGAGCACTTTGCTTGCCACTCTCCATAGTGTATAGTAGGTCACTGGAAACGGGAGACCTACCAGAAATATGGAAGACTGCTAATGTAGTACCAATATACAAAAAGGGTGACAGACAAGAGGCACTGAACTACAGGCTAGTGTCCTTAACTTGTATACCATGCAAGGTGATGGAGAAGATTGTGAGAAAAAACCTAGTAACACATAAGGAGAGAAGAGACTTCGTGACAACCCATCAACATGGGTTTAGGGAGGGTAAATCTTGCCTTACAGGCTTGATAGAATTCTACGATCAGATGACAAAGATTAAGCAAGAAAGAAAGGGATGGGCGTACTGCATTTTTTGGACTGTCGGAAAGCCTTTGACACAGTACCCCATAAAAGGTTGATGCATAAGCTGGAGAAACAGGCAGGAGTAACTGGTAGGGCGCTCCAGTGGATAAGGGAGTACCTAAGCAACAGGAAGCAGAGAGTTACAGTGCGGGGTGAGACCTCAGAATGGCGTGAAGTCACCAGTGGAGTCCCACAGGGCTCTGTACGTGGACGTATCCTGTTTCTGATATACGTAAATGATCTCCCAGAGGGTATAGACTCATTCCTCTCAATGTTTGTTGACGACGCCAAAATTATAAGAAGGATTAAGACAGAGGAGGACAGCTTGAGGCTTCAAGAAGACCTGGATAAGCTGCAGGAATGGTCGAACAAATGGCTGTTAGAGTTTAACCCAAGCAAATGTAATGTAATGAAGATAGGGGTAGGAAACAGGAGACCAGATACAAGGTATCATTTGGGAGATGAAATACTTCAAGAGTCAGAGAGAGAGAGAAAGATCTGGGGGTTGATATCACGCCAGACCTGTCCCCTGAAGCTCATATCAAGAGGATAACATCTGCAGCATATGCCAGGTTGGCTAACATAAGAACGGCCGTTAGAAACTTGTGCAAGGAATCTTTCAGAACATTATATACCACATATGTCAGACCAATCCTGGAGTATGCGGCTCCAGCATGGAGTCCATATCTAGTCAAGCATAAGACTAAGCTGGAAAAGGTTCAAAAGTTTGCCACCAGACAAGTACCCGAACTGAGGGAGTATGAGCTACGAGGAGAGACTACGGGAATTAAACCTCACGTCACTGGGAGACAGAAGAGTTAGGGGGGACATGATCATCACATACAAGATTCTCAATGGAATTGATTGGGTAGATAAAGAAAGACTATTTAACACAAGGGGCACACGCACTAGGGGACACAGGTGGAAATTGAGTGCCCAAATGAGCCAAAGAGACATTAGAAAGAATTGTTTCAGTGTCGGAGTAGTTGACAAATGGAATGCATTAGGAAGTGATATGGTAGAAGCTCCATATAAACAGCTTCAAGTGTAGATATGATAGAGCTCCGTAGACTCAGGAACCTGTACATTAGTTGATTGACAGTTGAGACACGAGACAAAAGAGCCAGAGCTCAACCCCTGCAAGCACAACTAGGTAAGTACCTACCACAGCCACCCACACACTCACCCATTACTCTCATTCTCTCTCTCACACACACACACCATATATGGGTTCCCCTCTTTGCCCTGATCTTGCCAATCTCTACGTGGAATACTTTGAAACTGTTCTTCTTCTTCTTCCTTCTATTGATACTCGTCCCTCTCTCTGGCTTCGCCATGTTGATAACATTTTGCTTCATGGCCTCATGACCTTAGGCTTTTCCATCCTTTCCTCTCCTCTCGTAACAATCTGGCTCCTTCCATCCATTTCAAAGTTGAATGGGAATCAAATTCCCTCCTTCCTTTTCTTGACGTGGCCTCCCCAGCCTGGCCTCCCCAGCCTGGCCTCCCCAGCCTGACCTCCCCAGCCTCCCTCCCAAGCTTGGCCTCCCCAGCCTGTCCTACCAAGCTTGGCCTCCCCAACCTGTCCTCCCAAGCTTGGCCTCCCCAGCCTGTCCTCCCAAGCTTGGCCTCCCCAGCCTGGCCTCCCCAGCCTGTCCTCCCAAGCTTGGCCTCCCCAGCCTGTCCTCCCAAGCTTGGCCTCCCCAGCCTGTCCTCCCAAGCCTCGCCTCCCAAGCTTGTCCTCCCAAGCCTGTCCTCCCCAGCCTGTCCTCCCAAGCTTGGCCTCCCCAGCCTCGCCTCCTCAGCCTGTCCTCCCAAGCTTGGCCTCCCCAGCCTGTCCTCCCAAGCTTGGCCTCCCCAACCTGGCCTCCCCAGCCTCGCCTCCCAAGCTTGGCCTCCCCAGCCTGTCCTCCCAAGCTTGGCCTCCCCAGCCTGTCCTCCCAAGCTTGGCCTCCCCAGCCTCGCCTCCTCAGCCTGTCCTCCCAAGCTTGGCCTCCCCAGCCTGTCCTCCCAAGCTAACCTGGCCTCCCCAGCCTGTCCTCCCAAGCTTGGCCTCCCCAGCCTGTCCTACCAAGCTTGTCCTCCCCAACCTGGCCTCCCAAGACATTCCTCCCAAGCCTGTCCTCCCCGGCCTGTCCTCCCCAGCCAGGCCTGCTCAGCCTGGCCTCCCCAGCCTGGCCTCCCCAGCCTGACCTCCCTAGCCTGGCCTCCCCAGCCTTACATCCCAAGCCTGCCCTCCAAAGTCAGTCCTCCCAAGCCTCTCCTCCCCAGCCAGTTCTCCCCAGCCTGGCCTCCTCACCATGACATCCCAAGCCTGTCCTCCCCAGCCTGGCCTCCCCAGTGTGGCCTCCCCAGCCTGGCATCCACAGCCTGGCGTCCCCAGCCAGGCCTCCCCAGCCTGTCCACACCAGCCTGACCACCCCAGCCTGGCCTCCCCAGCCTGGCCTCCACAGCCTGGCCTCCACAGCCTGGCCTCCACAGCCTGGCCTAAACAGCCTGGCCTCCACAGCCTGGCCTCCCCAGCCTGACCTCCCTAGCCTGGCCTCCCCAGCCTTACATCCCAAGCCTGCCCTCCAAAGTCTGTCCTCCCAAGCCTGTCCTCCCCAGCCAGTTCTCCCCAGCCTAGCCTCCCCACCATGACATCCCAAGCCTGGCCTCCCCAGCCTGGCCTCCCTAGCCTGTCCTCCCCAGCCTAGCATCCACAGCCTGGCGTCCCCAGCCAGGCCTCCCCAGCCTGTCCTCCCCAGCCTAGCATCCACAGCCTGGCGTCCCCAGCCAGGCCTCCCCAGCCTGGCCTCCCCACCATGACATCCCCAGCCTGTTCACCCCAGCCTGGCGTCACCAGCCTGGCCTCCACAGCCAGGCCTCCACAGCCTGGCCTCCACAGCCTGGCCTCCACAGCCTGTCCACCCCAGCCTGGCGTCCCCAGCCTGGCCTCCACAGCCTGGCCTCCACAGCCTGGCCTCCACAGCCTGGCCTAAACAGCCTGGCCTCCACAGCCTGGCCTCCACAGCCTGGCGTCCCCAGCCTGGCCTCCACAGCCTGGCGTCCCCAGCCTGTTCACCCCAGCCTGGCCTCCACAGCCTGGCCTAAGCAGCCTGGCCTAAACAGCCTGGCCTAAACAGCCTGGCCTCCACAGCCTGGCGTCCCCAGCCTGTTCACCCCAGACTGGCCACCCCAGCCTGGCCTCCACAGCCTGGCCTCCACAGCCTGGCCTCCACAGCCTGGCCTCCACAGCCTGGCCTAAACAGCCTGCAGCGCTGATTATTTTTAAACACTATTTCCTGTTCAACTTAATACTTGGCGCTGCTCCCAATAATATGGTGGTGGTAGAATATGGTGGTGGTAGAATATGGTGGTGGTAGAATATGGTGGTGGTAGAATATTGTGGTGGTAGAATATGGTGGTGGCAGAATATGGTGGTGGCAGAATATGGTGGTGGTAGAATATGGTGGTGGTAGAATATGGTGGTGGTAGAATATTGTGGTGGTAGAATATTGTGGTGGTAGAATATTGTGGTGGCAGAATATGGTGGTGGCAGAATATGGTGGTGGCAGAATATGGTGGTGGTAGAATATGGTGGTGGTAGAATATGGTGGTGGTAGAATATGGTGGTGGTAGAATATGGTGGGGTAGAATATGGTGGTGGTAGAATATGGTGGTGGTAGAATATGGTGGTGGTAGAATATGGTGGTGGTAGAATATGGTGGTGGTAGAATATGGTGGTGGTAGAATATGGTAGGGGTAGAATATGGTGGTGGTAGAATATGGTGGTGGAAAAATATGTGGCGTAGAATATGGTGGGGGCGGGGGTAGAATATGATTGGGGTAGCATATATTGGTGGTAAAATATGGTTATGGTAGAATATGGTGGTGGTAGAATATGGTGGGGGTAGAATATGGTGGTGGTAGAATATGGTGGGGGTAGAATATAATGGTGGTAGAATATGGTGGTGGTAGAATATGGTGGTGGTAGAATATGGTGAGGGCGGGGGGTAGAATATGGCCAAATACTCCGGCAACTGATCGTGTACAAGCCATGTATAATTACCTCACAACTGTAGCGACGAGAGAACAAGACAAGCAGACAACGGCAGCAGCAGAGACCGACAGCAGCAGAGACCGACAGCAGCAACAGCAGCAGACCGCAGCAGTAGCAGCAGACAACAACAGTAGCAGCAGCAGCAGACAACAACAGTAGCAGCAGCAGCAGCAGCAGACAACAGCAGCAGCAGACAACAGCAGCAGCAGACAGCAGCAGACAACAGCAGCAGCAGCAGCAGACAACAGTAGCAGCAGCAACAGACAACAGCAACAGGAGCAGCAGCAGCAGACAACAGCTGACGATCGTGTGGCCAACAGTTTCGGGAAAAAACTAGGCAGCAGTTCTTATATACATCTCCCACCCAGACACCTCCCACCCTGTCTCCTCCCACCCTGTCTCCTCCCACCCTGTCTCCTCCCACCCTGTCTCCTCCCACCCTGTCTCCTCCCTCCCTGTCTCCTCCCTCCCTGTCTCCTCCCACCCTGTCTCCTCCCACCCTGTCTCCTCCCACCCTGTCTCCTCCCACCCTGTCTCCTCCCACTCCCTGTCTCCTCCCTCCCTGTCTCCTCCCTGTCCCTGTCTCCTCCCACCCTGTCTCCTCCCTCCCTGTCTCCTCCCACCCTGTCTCCTCCCACCCTGTCTCCTCCCACCCTGTCTCCTCCCACCCTGTCTCCTCCCACCCTGTCTCCTCCCCTCCCCCTGTCTCCTCCCTCCCTGTCTCCTCCCTCCCTGTCTCCTCCCTCCCTGTCTCCTCCCTCCCTGTCCCCTCCCACCCTGTCTCCTCCCTCCCTGTCTCCTCCCCACCGCCGGCCCTCCCCACCGCCGGCCCTCCCCACCGGCCGGCCCTCCCCACCGCCGACCCTCCCCACCGGCCGGCCCTCCCCACCGGCCGGCCCTCCCCACCGCCGGCCCTCCCCACCGCCGGCCCTCCCCACCCGCCGACCCTCCCCACCGGCCGGCCCTCCCCACCGCCGACCCTCCCCACCGGCCGACCCTCCCCACCGGCCGACCCTCCCCACCGGCCGACCCTCCCTACCGGCCGACCCTCCCCACCGGCCGACCCTCCCCACCGGCCGGCCCTCCCCACCGGCCGGCCCTCCCCACCGGCCGACCCTCCCCACCGCCGACCCTCCCCACCGCCGACCCTCCCCACCGCCGACCCTCCCCACCGCCGACACTCCCCACCGGCCGGCCCTCCCCACCGCGGGCCCTCCCCACCCTCCCCCAGTATCTACCAGCAGGCGTCCACAAAGGTCAACAATACCACCTGAGGTGATGTGTAAGATAATATCTCGGAAAAATTTTCCTGTTTTGTTCATGGGAATCCCCTCAAATGTTGTCATGCTAGCACTTGTTGTTGTTGTTGTTGTTGTGGTTGATGTACCCTTGTTGATGTTGCTGTTGTTGATGATGTTCCCTTGTTGTTGATGATGTGTTGTTATAGTGCTGTTATTGATGTACCCTTGTTGTTGTTGTTGATGTTGTTGTTGTGATGCGAGAGTGAAGTGTTTGTTGTTGTCGTCGTTGTTACCCCGTCCTGGGCCAGGAGCACCCCTCCCTGCTCTGGGTGGGGGTGTTGGATAATCCTAACAAGCAATTATTTGTTTTTATTCTTTGTGAACATTTATTTTCTATTTTTTATCACTTCAATATTGATGATTATGATTCTAAGTGGACTGTCTACTTGATTCAGCCTGCCAGAATTTACCTGCACATAGTTGGAGGGACGTTTACATCTTATACAACAATGGGTGGTCATATAATAAGCTATAAACATTTACCTTATTATAATATAAATTATACCACATGTGGTGGTAATTAATCTACAGTATGGTTAGTACTACTCAATCTTATAGTAAACATGGGTTAGTACAAATGTGAGATCTTAGCCATGATGTAGGTATGGCCTGATTAGGCAGTGTGATAGCTGTTAGAGTGTGGCTACATGTGGTCCAGTTGTAAAATGGGGGCTGGCACTCAGGTGGCGTCTGTGGAACAGCTAGGGTAAGCAAGAACATCACAAGTTATGTTGGCCAGCTCACCTCATTATCTTCAACTCACAAACTTACCTACCAAAGAATGGGATTAATAACTGTTCCATTAACATATAAAGTACAGGTTTGACATGAATTATTTGTGAGTGTGTAGTGCTGAGTAAAACACTACTCACTTTGTTGTGGGGCTTCGTCTGCAGCTTAACCAACTACCTATCCTATATTTAATAGTGATCACTACCAATAAAAGATGTAATGGGAGTCGGGAACTAAGCTCTTCTCTTTGTTATTGAGGGTTGGTCGGATCGTTGTGGATCCATTGACAAGTTGTGCTTGTCGTGAGGAGCCCTCTTTGTTTTGTTTCTGTGTCTGAGCCAGAGCGTGACTGCCAGCCTCCTTCCCTGAGGTTGCGTTCCAATACTCTGTTGGTTCCTACTCTGTCTTAAGGGCAAGGTTTATTAAACAATAGCAAGGAAGTCTGTAGTGTATTTTTTATTGCTAATTATATTATATCCAGTCCAAGTGAATACTTTTTATTAGGTTTAAACACTAGACTTTAGTTTAAAAGAATAAATGGAGTTTAATATATACGTGTTGTGAATATGGGTCTATTGCGATGACACTGAATCTCCCATTTTCCTTATATTCGGAAATGGCTAATTATAGTATGTTAACATGTGTGTAGGATTTCCAACAGGGGGTTAAGACTTATCCCTCCCTGGGCCAGGAACACCACACAATGCTCCGGGAGGTGGTTAAGATTTACCTCGCCCTGGACCACAGCACCACACCATGCTCCGGGCAGGGGTTAAGACTTCCCCGGCCCTAGGGCCATGTTACGAACCCTTCCGTAACCGGGTTCTTATAAACTCTACGATCATTCTCAAGGTCAGAGATCCCATTGTGGAAATGTAGTGTAATCTTTAAGGTAAGAAATTATATTGCACTTAAAATTAACCGTTCTTATTATCTACCACCACAACTATATACAATTCACTACTAGAGGTCATCCAGAGCATCGTTAGCCCTCATGCTAGCTAGCTGCGAAGATGACGGATACTATTTACATTCCTCTGACGAGGTCTTCAGCGCAACACTATCCCCTAGCCCACTAGCTGCAGTTATAGCGATGTCTTCAAGCGCCCCACAAGCCCACTCGCTAGTACGCTCAAACAGTGAAGTCTTCCAGAGCTCTACTAGCCCTCTGGTTAGCACACCCAAACGGTGAAGTCCTCAGAGCTCCATTAGCCTTCTGACTAGTAAACTAACAGTGAAGTCCACAGCGCTCCACTAGCTCTCTGGCTAGCACACCCTAACAGTGAAGTCCACAGCGCTCCACTAGTCTCTCTGGCTAGCACACCCTAACAGTGAAGTCCACAGCGCTCCACTAGCCTTCTGGCTAGCACACCCCAACAGTGAAGTCCACAGCGCTCCACTAGCCTCTCTGGCTAGCACACCCCAACAGTGAAGTCCACAGCGCTCCACTAGCCCTCTCTGGCTAGCACACCCCAACAGTGAAGTCCACAGCGCTCCACTAGTCTCTCTGGCTAGCACACCCTAACAGTGAAGTCCACAGCGCTCCACTAGCCTTCTGGCTAGCACACCCCAACAGTGAAGTCCACAGCGCTCCACTAGCCTCTCTGGCTAGCACACCCCAACAGTGAAGTCCACAGCGCTCCACTAGCCCTCTCTGGCTAGCACACCCCAACAGTGAAGTCCACAGCGCTCCACTAGCCCTCTCTGTCACCAGTAGCTCATCACCTACCAGAACAGCTGACTGATATTAATGGGAGGGTCAACTATTTAATTCGGAACCTGGATCATAGATGGCGCACAGGTCCGTCACAGGCCAGGAGCACCACACCATGCTCTGGGTGGAGGTTAAGACTTACCCCGCCCTGGGCCAGAAGCACCACACCATGCTCCGGGCGGGGGTTAAGACTTTCCCTGCCTGGAGCCAGGAGAACCAGACCATGCTCCGGGTGGGTGTTAAGACTTACCCCGCTCTGAGGCAAGAGCCCCACACCATGCTCCGGGATTAGGTTATGTCTTACCCCATCCTGGGTCAGGAGCACTACACATACTCCTGCCAGAGGGTTAAGGCTTACCCCGCCCTGGGGCCAGGGGCATCATAGCATGCTCCAGGCAGTGGCTAAGACTTACTCTGCCCTTGGGTCAGAACCACCACATCTTGCTTTGGGCGGGGATTAAGACGTACCCATATATGGGGCCAGTAGCACTACACCATGTTCAGGGTGGGTGTTAAGACTTACCAAGCTCTCGGGCCAGGGGCACCAAACCATTCTCTGGTAGGTGGTTAAGACTTACTTCGCCCTGGGCCACAGCACCACACTATGCTCCGGCAAAGGTTAAGACTTACCCTACTCTAGGGTCAGGAGCAACCCACCATGATCCGGGTGGGAGTTAAGACTATCCCCACATGCCTGATGTCATGCTACCAACCCTTCCGTAACCGGGAGCCAGATTCACGAAGCAGTTACGTACGTACTTACAAACGTTCTTTTTTAGCATCTTCATAGTGGCTACGTCAGTATTCAGGTAGGCATTTAAGTAAGAAAATCTTCGTAAGTAAACTTCGTCGCGCTAAGGACGCTCTCGACCAATCGTAGCTTTACATTGACTGTATATAACTCAATTTTTCTTTACGACACAACACAGACAATCGATTTTATTATAAAAAAAAATTTAACTGACGAGTCTCATCAAGAAGGAATCCTTCGTGTTAGCTATATGTGCTTTCTATGCTTGAAATTTGTACAAAATTCGTTGTATTGTTACGATTGGACAAGTGGTTACGATACCATGTACGCCAGATGCATAGTGCTCCTGGCTGTCTGGGTTCGAATAACTTTTGGGGTGTGGAGTTTTCGGTTACATATTGGCTTGGGGACCATTTAAGCTTGTTCACTTTTGTGTTGCTCACGTGGCCCCAGAGTCAGAGTACCAGTGCCGTGATTCGATGAAACAGTAACTATACCATGCCCAGTTGCATAGTGCTCCTGGCTGTCTGGGTTCGAGTCACTCCTTGCAGTTACCACCTAGTGCCGTTGGGGCGTTTATATATAT